ATTTTCTTAAAAAATGCTGTTTTTCTTGACGACCGATTTCAACCAAAAACTGTACCTTCGGTTATCGTCACCGTTACATCCCTAGTTCTGACCGATTCCGGTCTCGGTTCCAATCGGTTCTGACCGGTTCCAGTTGGTTCCGGTTTCGGTTCCGACCGGTTCCTGTCGGTTCCGGTTTCGGTTCTTATCGATTCCAACCGGTTCCGGTTTCGGTTCCAATCGGTTCTTATCGGTTTCGGTTTCGGTTCTTATCGGTTTCGGTTTCGATTCTTATCGGTTCTTATCGATTCTAATCGGTTCCGGTTTCGGTTCCAATCGGTTCCACCGGTTTCGGTTCCAATCGGTTCCACCGGTTTCGGTTCCAATCGGTTCCACCGGTTTCGGTTCTAGAACCGGAACCGGTATCGGTTAAAACCGGAACCGGTGCATCCCTAAGCATGAGTCATCACGATCAACATTTCCACCATTTCCCATCATCTTAAAAAATCCAACTAATTATTTAGCCACAGAAGTCGCTATAATCAAAGAAATAAATAAATGCTGCAAATTGAATTTAACTTATGGTAGATACACCAAAACAAAAGATGATGAAAAGTGTTTTCAGCTTTATACAAGCACAACTGCACAATTTGAACATTTTATGTGCATATCTAATTGGCCAAATAAAATTTGCAATAGTGAATACAAACTAGATTTACCAGTAAAAATACCATCTTCATATTCCATTGTTGTTCTTAATGTTCCGTCTCAATGGGATGAACAAACCTTTGGAAATGAATTAAAGCAACATTATCCCTCGATTGTACGTGCGGTTCGTCTATTTGTCAAAGGTGGACGGCCTTTAAATAAAGTTCGCCTAGATTTTTCTTCGTATAAAGAATTATCGAGTATACTTAAATCGCGACGCATTTTATTAGATGATAATAATACTGCGTTTACAATTGAACCATATCAAGCACCTACAAGGGTATTACGATGTCACAACTGCCAAGCTTACAATGATCATATTGCAGCACATTGCCCAAATAAAAATGATCCAATTTGTTTTAGATGCGGGCAACATCATTCTTATAATCCGAATTGTGATAATCCCATTCGATGCGTTCATTGTAATGGAAATCACATGGCAGGGAATCCAGTTTGTCCGAAAAAAATAGAACAGCGTTATGAAACGAATCAACGACAGAAACTGTTAAATAAGACTTCGGACACACAAACTCCCCGACAAAAATCAGCATGGTGTGGCAATACAACAGCACATCTCCTTGGATATGAAGTAGTAACAGATGGAGATAATAACACCAACAATCAAGTAGATTTTATAAAGATGCTAGAGAAAATCAATAACACAAT